ATATCCAGGTACAAGAAGCTCCAAGGACTCCTGGGAGATTCATCGCAAAGAGGCAAACACCACAACACACAGTCATCAGACTGGCCAAGTAAACACGAAAAAGGCCCTCCTACAAGCCATAAGGAGAAAGCAGCAGGTAACCTACAAAGGAAAACCCATCAGACTAACTGCTGGTAACTTCTCAACTGAGACCTTACAAGCCAGAAGGGACTGGGGCCCTATTCTCAGTCTTCTCAAACAGAATAATGCCCAGCCTAGAATTTTGTATCCCCCAAAACTAAGTTTCTTATACAAAGGAGAAATAAAGACCTCCCCAGACAAGCAAACACTCAGGGAATTCATCAAGACAAGACCTGCCCTCCAGGAAGTACTCAGAACAGTGACAAACACAGATCAGCACAATAGACACCAGTGTAAAATCATCCAAAAGCTAAAGGTCAAAGGCCAGATGCCACAATGGCTCAGGAGACAAAATAAAGCAACAAAGTTCAACTCAACAGGATGAACAGAAACCCACCCCACTTATCGATTCTGTCAATAAATGTGAATGGCTTGAACTGCCCACTAAAGAGACATAGGTTGGCCGAATGGATAAATATACACATACCAAGTATCTCCTGTCTTCAGGAAACACATCTAACCCACAAAGATTCATTCAGACTCAACGTGAAGGGATCGAAAACAATATTCCATACAAATGGAAATCAAAAGAAAGCTGGTTTACCAATTCCGATTTCAGATAATTTAGTCTTCAAATCAACAAAAGTAATGAAAGACAAAGAGGGGCACTATATAATGGTGAAGGGTATAATACAATAAGAAGACATAACAATTCTAAATATTTATGCACTGAACGCAGGTGCACCCAGATTCATAAAGCAAATCATACTTGATCTAAACAAAATGATAAACAGCAACACCATAATAGCCAGAGACAGAACAGGACAAATCCTCCAAACAGAAAATAAACAAAGAAACAATGGACTTAAACAGAACTGTAGAACAAATGGGCCTGACAGACATTTACAGAACATTCTACCCCCAAACCACTGAATATACATTTTTCTCATCAGCTCATAGGACATTCTCTAAGACTCACCATATCCTAGGCCACAAAACATGTCTCAACAAATTTAAAGAAACAGAAAATACAACATGCATCTTCTCACACCACAGTGGAATAAAATTAGAAATCAACTCTAACAGAAACACTTATCTCTACACAAAGTTATGGAAACTAAACAATTTTCTGCTGAACAATTCCTTCATAAATGAGGAAGTAAAGATGGAAATCAAAAGATTCTTTGAACTAAATGATAAGGGAACACAATTTATCAAAATCTGTAGCACACAGCTAAAGCAGTCCTGAGAGGAAAATTTATAGCCATAAATGCCTATATCCGAAAGACAGAAAGATCACAAATCAACAATCTAATGAATCATCTCAAAGAACTGGAAAAGGACGAGCAAACCAATCCCAAACCCAGCAGAAAAAAAGAAATAACCAAGATCAGAGCAGAACTAAATGAAATCAGTAATAAAAAAACTATATGGAAGATTAATAGAAGAAAACGTTGGTTCTCTGAAAAAATAAACAAAACAGACACGTCTCTCACTAGATTAACCAGAAGCAGAAAAGAAAGGACTCTAATAAGCTCAGTCAGGAATGGAAAAGGAGAAATTACAACTGATACCACGGAAATACAAAATATCATCCATGAATACTATAAAAATCTCTATGCACATTAAGCTTGAAAATGTGGAGGAAATGGACAAATTCTTGGAAACACACAGCCTCCCTAGGCTCAATCAAGAAGAAATAGAATTCCTGAACAGACCAATGACAAGTACTGAAATTGAGGCAGCAATAAAAAAACCTTCCTAAAATAAAAAGTCCTGGACCAGATGGTTACACACCCAAATTTCACCTGATCTACAAAGACCTGGTGCCTATCTTGCAGAAATTATTCCACAACATCAAGAAGGAAGGAATCCTCCCCAACACATTTTATGAAGCCAACATCACCCTGATACCAAAACCAGGAAAGGACTCAACAAAAAAAGAAAACTACACACTAATATCCCTTATGAATATAGACGCAAAAATTCTCAAGAAAATCCTAGCAAGGCCGGGTGCGGTGGCTCACGCCTGTAATCCTAGCACTCTGGGAGGCCGAGGCGGGTGGATCCCTCAAGGTCAGGAGTTCAAGACCAGCCTGAGCAAGAGCGAGACCCCGTCTCTACTAAAAATAGAAAGAAATGATCTGGACAACCAAAAAA